TGATACTTAACGGCATTTTTACGTGCTCTCTTGATGACTTTCGACTGTAATGCGTTGTTTCACTTGGGCAAGATCAGTAAAACCTGTCTTAGAGTAGACTACTTGGGGTCCTCAGTTCCAAAAAGCAGACAGGAGAAACAGTAGGCCTAATCTAGGTCTACAAGGAGTATAATTTGTTGTGTAAGCCACTCCACTTTTTATTTATTGTTTTATTTTGATATTTTTAGTTTGGTGAGGACTTAGTTCATTCACTCTCTTCTTTTTACTTTGTTTGGTGAACTGAATTTATTTGCAATCAACTTCATTCATCCTGCATTGGAATGCGCACTCGAGTTATAAAACTTTCACCACTACACCATTCCAACTTCTAACACAATGATCTAATTGGGGCATTGCCCCCCCCCCCTCTCGACAGGCCTGATCGTGAGCCTATGCACCCGGTGCCCGGTACACTATCCTCTGATCTTATCACTCGTTACCTAGGCGATCATTAATTTTATGACCGCCTAGCTCGTTACGGAACTGAGACTATTTTAAAATCTAATGTTTTTCTTTTAAAATAATTTAGATCGACATAAATTATTGGAATACGTTGATCTATACTTTAGTTTGATAGATAAATCTACATTATTATTTAGATCTAGATTAGAATGGGCCCTAGAGTCCTAGAGTAGGATTAACTAACGCTCTCAGTCTCATACTCTATCCAGGGCCAAGCCATCGGGGCTCAATCACACGCTCCCTGGGGGCGTGGCCTGTTTTACGCTGGCACGTTTTTTTGAGACAGCATCTTACCGTAGGGTGTAGTATCTTTGGTATTACTGTAAACTCTCCGGTCAAACCAAAGATCGTGTATAGTAGAGAATCTTTGGTCAAACAAGATTGCTGTTACTATAAATATCGGCCAATGGCGTTTCATTATCGGTTCTCTAGTGATCCGCTTGTTTCAGTTTCAGTTTCAGTTTCGCGCAGTATAATAATTATTAGATCTAGTCTGAGTCGGGACGTTTCTTTTTCTAGGACTGGCCATATTTCAGTTGAGTCGAGGTGTAGATCTACAGGTCCACAAAGATGGACATAATTAAGCGTGTCGATAAGCACCGCATCGTTGCAGTACTTAGAGAACTTCCATGTTTGTGGGATGAGAGATCGGAAGATTTCAAGAATACAAAACTGAAGGACAATGCTCGTCAAAAAATCCTTTTAGTCTTGTCAATCCCGGATGCAAGTGAGTTGCTAGATCTAGAATCTAGTTAGAACTAATCTAGTTATCGTGTGTTTTTAATCGTATAATTTGGACGCTTTTAAGCACGAGGGCGCTATCGCGAAAAATGCAGTTTTGAAAAAGTCCAAGCTAATTAAGTTTTTGCCCCTTGTTCCGTTTCTTTAGACAAGGAGAGTTTTCTCAATAACCAAACAAATATATACAACAATAAGACTAAACTTCTCCTATAGGTAAGGCAATGCTCACTCTGGTGAAGGTCAAGATTTCTGGAAACCCTCGAAATCTGGGTTAGCCCGCTTGTCCTAAAAAACGATCAACTGTGGTTTAAACTAATACATTTCATGGATTATAATAATATTTAACCATATCCGTACGCCCTGGGGTCACTTTGTACCACCGGGGTTGTATTCTTCACACTTTAGAATACTTCTAGTTCTAGATCTGGTTCGAAGATCTCTTTGAAACTTTCAGTATTTCTCAAAAAACCATTTTGACAGTAGACAGACTGCTATGCAAAGCGTATGGATCGGATTCACGAGTAAATTAATTTCCTCTCTGGAAAGTGGTGGCACAGAGTTCCCCACGTCGTATGGATACGATAGTAAAACACGACGTGCGGATAGGGTTAAGTGGTGTCACAGAGTTCCCCACGTCGTATGGATACGATAGTAAAACACGACGTACGGATAGGGTTAAGTGGTGGCACAGAGTTCC